TAACCTTCCGAGCGAGGGACTTCATGAAATAAGGGCGGAGTCTCAACAAAACCAAATCGCCAGGAGCGAACTGTACCTCCCTGCGATGCCGATCTGCAAATAGTTTCATGTGTTGCTGTGCCAAACGGAGGTGTTCCTTAAGGACATCCAACATTTGATTGCGCTCCTGTAGCTGTGTGGCAACCTCATGGACGGCCGTAGAATCATCTTGGAAACGATGGAGAGTGGGGGGGTCACGCCCATAAACAACTCGAAAAGGAGAACACTTAATGGACGCATTATATGAAGTATTGAACCAATATTCTGCCCACGGCAGAAATAGAAGCCAAGACCTCGGCTTGTCACACAAAAAACAGCGGAGATAGGTTTCCAAACCGCGGTTGGTCACCTTGGACTGGCCGTCCGTTTGCGGATGGTATGCAGTGCTCGACTGAAGTTTAGTGCCCTGCAACTTGAATAGTTCACGCCAGAATAAACTTATGAAGATCGAATCGCGATCGCTAACAATCGAGCGGGGAAAACCATGCAAGCGGACTACTTCGCGACCAAATAACAAAGCCACCTGCTTTGCCGTGTAAGGGTGAGCCAGGGGACAAAAGTGCGCGTATTTGGAGAGGCGGTCCACCACTACCAAGATCGTGTCCATGCCCTTCGATTTCGGGAGTCCGCCAATAAAATCCATAGCTATATCTTCTCAGATTTGCTGTGGTATCGGAAGGGGCTGTAATAGACCTGCCGGCGCAACTGGATACATAATCTCTGATAACTTGCTTCATGCCTTTCCAAAAGAAATTTGCTGAGATTCGTTTATAGGTGCGTAAAAACCCAGAGTGCCCCCCTAAAATCGAACTGTGGAAATCATGTAACACCTGGGGTGTCCAAGAAAGAGGCAGCACTAACCTATCCCGAAACCACAGTAAACCATTGCGGAGAACATAACCTTCACTGGCTGGACGTCCCTGGTTCATGTTGCGGATGATGTCTTGACAACCAGGGTCTGGGAGTTGATCCTGTCGGAGGTCCGACATGTTAAACTCGTGAAGGATGGAAAGGGCCGCAAACTCCACTGGAGAGGCTTCCTCCCTACGCGAAAGGGCATCTGTGACCCTGTTCGCTGCACCTGGCTTGTACTGGACCTCAAAATCGTATCCAAGGAGCTTTGTTATTAATCGCAGCTGTTCAGGCGGTAAAATCCATTGATCCAAGAGGAATTTAAGACTCCTCTGATCGGCACGAATGAGAAAATGCCGCCCCAAGAGATAATGCCTCCATTTTTGAACGGCCAACACAATGGCGAGAAGTTCCCGCTCATAAACCAACTTCAAACAGGAGGTCGTTGAAAGCATCTTGCTAAAGTAAGCGATCGGCCTGCCCTCTTGCATCAAAACCGCGCCTACCCCGCTGCTAGAAGCGTCGGTTTCGAGGACGAACAATTTAGTAAAGTCCGGCATAGCCAGGACTGGAAGTTCTGTCATCGCACGTTTGAGTTGAAGGAAAGCTTCCTCTGCTGCGGGATTCCAACTGAAAACACCTTTCCTGAGCAAATCAGTGAAGGGGCGAGCAAGGGAACCGTATCCCTGAACAAAACGTCTATAATAGCCCGTGAGGCCGAGAAAACCCCGTAGCTCGCGGACATTCCGTGGAGTAGGCCATGACAACATCACGTTGACCTTAGACTGATCGGCGGACACACCCCCAGCAGAGAGTACGTGCCCTAGGTAGTGTATCTGTTCTTGTCCAAAAACACATTTGCTGAAATTAGCAAATAAAGCCTCCCTCCGCAACACCTCCAACACCTGCCTCACGTGAAATGATCCTCCCACGACCTGCTATACACCAAAATATCGTCAAAAAAGACAAACGAATTTCCGTAAGAAAGGGCGAAATACTGAGTTCATAAGAGATTGGAACGTGGCCGGTGCATTAGTAAGGTCGAAGGGCATGACGAGGAACTCGTAATGCCCCTCATGCGTCCGAAATGCCGTCTTCTCCACATCGCTCTCGCGGACCCTGATTTGGTGGTAGCCCGACTTTAAATCCAGCTTGGAAAACACCCTTGCCCCATGTAACTCGTCAAGCAGCTCATCAATGATAGGAATTGGAAATTTGACGTGGATTGTTAACTGGTTCAGCGCTCGGTATCGACACAGAAACGCCAACTACCGTCTTTCTTGCGGACCAATAGTACCGGGCTAGCATAAGGACTACTGCTAGGTCAAATGATACCTGAGGCCATCATGTCCGTGACCAGCCTCTCAATTTCAGCCTTCTGAACCTGCGGGTATCTATAGGGCCAGATGTTGGGTGGAGACACGCCATATCACGGAGGACGATGCAGTTCTCCCTTGTTCGTCGTGGCGGTAACCCCTTCGGCATGCTGAATACGGCTTGGAACTCCCGGATAAACTGCTCGCACCCTGCCGGAAGTGGCTGTACATCTCCCTCAACGGCTCCGTCCTGGGTTGCGCAGATTTCCAGGAGCACCCCAACCCCAGAATGGTTCCATATTCGTGGCAGGGAACGCAGGCTAACCGGCGAGTAACACAAAGAAGGGTCCCCCGTCCAACAAATCCACTCCGACCCCTGCTGGAATTGCATGGTAAATTTATCCCAATCTGCACGGACTTCCCCTAAAGTTCTCAGCCACGAAATGCCCAACACCAAATCGGCACTGCCCAGTTCAAATGGGAAAAAATCTTCGATTACCAAGTGTCCCTGTACGAGAACGTGGAATCTTCGATTACCAAGTGTCCCTGTACGAGAACGTGGACCCCTCGGCGTACACCACTCTGCTGGAAGCTCATCCCATTTCCTACCTCAATCTTGTGTCGGACAGACAAGTCCGTGGGAATGGCCAAGCTGTTCACAAGTTCAGCAGATATGAAACTGTGGGAAGCCCCACTGTCCACCAAGAGTATCACCTCCCGTTCTCCCAGAGTCCCTTTTAGTTTCATGGTTTTTGCCATTGTCATACCTTTGAGGGAGTTAAGAGAGAGCCCTAAAGCCTCTTCCGTCGAATCTCTGATGACTTGGGTCTGCTCCTCCGCGACCTCACGGCCTTCTTCTTCACTACCCTCGTCCTCGCCCACTGCCAGGAGAACTTGCACTTGCCGATTCCTGCATCTGTGGCCTGGGCTGAATATCTCGTCACATTTGAAGCATAAACCGCGAGCTCACCTCTGTTGGACCCCGTCGTACGATAGTCGCCGGTAATTGGATCCGCCACCCATCGCCGAACCCGTAGCAGGTGGGGAATCACGATTCCGATTGGGGAGCCCTAGGTCTCAAGGAGTTTGGGATCGAAGGAAGCTCTCGGTTCTATCTGCGGTGGTATTAGGCGGTGGATTCGGGTTCGGGTTGCTGAAACCCACTATGCCGCCCCACTCTACACGGGTATTTCGACCCGCCCGAGCTTTGCGGATCCGATCCACCGCATCCAAACGGTCCTCAGCTTGTTGGGCCAAGTCCACGGCCTCGTTCAAGTTCATGGGCCTGTGCATCTTGACCTCAGCCCGTATGTCTTCCCTCAGCCCGTTAAGGAAAGTGCCTCTGAAAACACTCTCAGGTATACCTCTCATCGTGGCCGCCAAGGACTCAAACTCTTCTCTGAAATCTGCCACCGTCCCACCTTGCCAGAGAGCCATCATTCTCTCCGTTGGGTCACCCTCCCTAGAGCGGCCGAAACGATGGAGGATCGCATCCCTGAGGTCTCCCCAGCCCACGAATGGCTCTTGAGCGTCCAGCCATTGATACCAACCCAGAACCCTTCCCTCCATGCAAATAGACGCCGCCATCACCCTTTCTCCTTCGTCGATGTCGTTGATGGCGAAGTATCGTTCGGCTCGAAAGATCCATCCATGTGGATCATCTCCATGAAATAACGGAAGTTCAAGTTTCTTACCTCGGTGCTCGGCCCGCACGCGAGGTCTTTCTAGAGATCGATAGCGGTGGTGGCCTTCCCTTCCCCGCGCTTGATTTCTCCTTGGAAGACTTGGATCTGCACGTGCCGGACGGCCAGGTTCGCGCCTGGGTGGAGTTTGGTCATCCTGGATACCACCTGGGGGCGAGTAGTCCTCCCTGAGCCTTCTTGGAGGTGAGCGTTGGGGACGAGCTTGTATGATCATGAGCTCCTCAAGTCGGTGGATCGCGCCTTGAATTCCGTCCACCTTGGCTCCCATTGCGGCGACCACTCCCTGTACCTCGCCAAGCCTCACTCCCATCGTCGCCACGTCTTCCTGCAACTTTGGCACCGGATCCACCAATGTTTCGAAGGACTGCAACGTATCCTGGAAGCTGTTCAGCCTCCTCTCCACTTGTCCCAATCGATCTTGCTGGTTCGCCATGGATCGTAAGGCTCTGATACCAAATTGTTAGGGTCCTGGTAACACTTCTGATGAATCTCAATTGTATACGTAATGAAAACAGAATTGGAATGAATGAAATGACCCGATATGGTCTACTTTTTGATTAACTCAAATACATGAAAGGAAAATACAGATAGTGGGAGAATTCGGGGACCCTCTAGCCTCCAAAGACTAACTCTGTTACAGCAAAATTCACGACCCCTTCTACACCAAGCTTAGGCTATTTATTCTCCCTGCTCCCACTAACCAGCCACTACTACTAACCGAAACATATCTGACTAACCTCCCCTATTCCCGAGACGCAAATCCTAACTGAATTGCCTTCCCAAGGCTAATTCTCACTCAAATTACCGCCCTGCCCTTGCTTGTCATTCTTCCTCCTTCTCGCATACACAAACTTAATGGGAGGAGACCTAACAAGATGCAACAACAACATAATAATATAGATTTCAAATTTAGAGGTACACATAATCACATGATTCCTTAAAAACGAAAATAAAATAAAAAAGAAAACATAGCCATATGAGTTACTTGTGTTTAAGTGAAATACTCAATAAAAAATTAAAGCACATTATTAGGTGAATTTTGAAGGGGTCGTCAAATGATGAATTTTGAAGGGGTCGTCAGTTCACTTACCTACAAAGTAATATAAAATTAGTAGAAGAGAAGTACGGACATTATCATTCACTTGCTCTTGATGCCGGTGATAAAGCATCTGCACCAAGAATAATCAAGAGTGAACTTTGAGAGATCTATTTGGGAAAGTTGATATTTGAGTGATATACAAACGACATTAATACCCAACAGAAAAGTACTTACTGGAATGTCAGTTAACAGAGACACAAAAGCTCTTGAAGTGAAACATATAACACAAACAACAGCTAAACCTGCAACCTGTGAACAACATGGCTCGTGCACTAAACAATCAGATATGTTGACAAAGTTTCGAATCAAATTATTTCTGGCATCAGTAGGCTAAGAGGGAAAATAACATCATATTTAAGAATGGAAGAACAAATTATTACCTTCCACAGCTCCGAAGAAGCTCTCTCAGTTCTGACTTTGCTCATTTTCAAGCATAGTACGATTCCTGAACACCAAAGATACAAGAAAAGAGAAAATATCCATAATAGACCAGAAGAACGTTAAGATATTTCATTGAAAAATGAAAATGCAAAGACACGGAAACAATGATCAACTTTCCAATGAACTGAATATGCTGCAAACCTAATCCCAGCCTTTACCATATTACTTAAGAAATAATAGTGGATAAATGCAATAAAAATTATTAACAGGCTCTGTTGATAAGTCGTAACAAACAAAAACATGAGGAAAAAAAATCCAAATGTATTCATTCGAAAGTATTTATTTAGGTCAGTGACTCGGCACTTCTCCTTGAGAGTTCACTAGTAACAGGAACGGAAACAAATGCAGAATTATTCAGAACTGAAAGCAAATTAAAACCAAGTCAAATGATAGTTTCTCACCATAACATGCTAGTGCTCCTGCTAATAGAAGTGTTGCTGCTGCAAAAATATCTACATACACCTGTGCAAATGATTGAAGTCTTCTATAAATAAGAGTTCCACCATTCATATTTGAAAATGAAAATAAAATATCATGACCTTTGTATCATCAGAATTTTGTAACAATTCATAAAAAAATCAATGTGCCATACCCGGGCCACCATCTCAGAATCAATGGGATTTTTCCCCATCCCAATCCAGATTACCACAGCACACGCCAGCATTATAACAAACACTAGAAGAGTTACCTGATAAATAATTGTTGAGTTAATGCATTTGAGAAATGAAGCAGCAGATAAACTCCTTATATATATATATATATATATATATTGCTAGAGACTAATCATTACAGTTAGGAGACAGTAATATAACAGTTACGCCTAAAAAACACAGGAAGAAACCAAGGATTATTTCCATACCAAAATAACAATTCTTTGGCGGCTCCGAATATGGCTGAGCCGGAAAGGTAAACATCTCCTATGATTTTCTGTATTTAGTGAACTCCGTTCGTTAAATGTCTTCTGCAACAAAGATTCCTGAATGTTGCTTTCTTCCTCCTCATCATCCTCGTCGTCTGCCTGATGGCAGAGATCAACCCTATAGGAAATTTATCTTTTATAGAAACCACAGAGCGAGAAGCCATGTAACACCAAATATAGCTTATAAGAAACTAATTGCAAAATCATCAACTTGAGAAAGATAAATCAGACTTCGGTTTTTCTTTCTTTATTATTGATAACGTTTGCCAACTTTGCCAAAACAATTGCAATATTCGATATATGTTTTATAGTAACTTGCCAAAAACCCATTAAACGAGACATTTGCTGCCAACCAGATACAAACTTCAGTTGACATTCAAAAATTTAAAGGGAACAATCTAATATGTTCCTAAATGATTTCCTATACTCTTTAGACAAAGAAAACAAGAGCTCCTACATGTGTTGTGAAACAAATTTCAACACATTGCTCATCCACACATAGATCCGTAATAAATCTCCTCAAGGCACGAATAACAGTGCTTAAGTTTACACCAGCATCATAAGACCAATGCGCTTTAATTCATACAACCTCACAAAATACAGAATTGCATAGAAAATAACAAGACAGTTCCTGCATAATTATTGACTAATATAGGATTTTTTGTGAGTTGCAGAATCAACAAAACATCAATTACAAAACATAGCATAAATGAGTTTGAACAAGGATCAAACCGACTAGGGAATAGGCCAATCACTCTTTAAAGGAAAGAATAAAACCAAAGGGGCAAAAGACAAAAAAAAGTAAGTTAGAAGCTTTCCATTTCAATCTTTTGTTTAGGTCCTTGTACATGCGATATCAAACAATCTCTTCACTTCATATGTAGAAACAAATAAGGCCTTTTAAACAACCCATATGAAATCTTTATACACTTAAACAGAATATAAATTTCCATCAATGACATAAAGAAGGGTAATCTCACAAACACAAAGCAGCTTTCTTAAAGTCATGATTGTTATATGTGTTAGTACTTGTTTGTCATATTCTTCTTTCCAAGAATATTTAAGGGAAAAGGAACGTATGACAATTTGTAAAGCACAAGGCATTTAATGTTGCATTCATGATAAAAAATGATAACAAAAAGATCCTAGACAATGATACTTTTCTAACGTTGAAATATATCATACATAAATTTTGTAACCTTTGAAGTAACCAAAAAAAGAAAACATACCAGAATGATAAAAGAAGGAGAAACGCTGCAAAAAACATGATATTGGGGAAAGCTGCAAAGCAAAATTTTAACTATTCAAATACTTCCAAGAAGCAATTAAGAAAGTATAAATATATTGCCAACATGACGGGGAACATACCCATGAAAGCAAAGCCACAAGAATGAGACCAACATTGCCACCCCTCCCAAGCAGCAATAAGAGTTAGTAGAAAATATAAAAAGCAACCTGTGTTGCAGAAACCAAGACGTTAATTCATTTCGGTCAATAACATGACATTACTTCCAAAAATTACAAGATGACAAAATAACTAAAATAAAAGTTAAGTTATATTGCTAAAATTAGATTCTCTTACCCGTGTTAGAAGAGCCAACCATCAGATGAAACACCTGCAAAATACAATTTACATGTTTAACTTTAAATACAAATTCTTTAATAAGATTTGCTAGGAAGATAATTCTACTCAATAAATAGACATTATATAACAAACGGATGCATTTCTTCAAGCATTCATGCCAATGTTGTAGATGTAAAAATTTTAGTTATACTAATAAACAATCACCAAATCAGCAAGCTCTGCTGAACAAAAAAGCAGAACGTACGGGCATGCAGTTTGCACTCCTGCGTTTTACAATTTCCTCCCTACATATGCATGTCTTCCATGTGAAACATTTAGGCATGAAAGCGTCCACTCTTTCTTCTCAACTTAAGTTTTGAACTGAGAATCTGAGAACCGCTTCCTAGTGTAAAAGTTACTCGTCTAACTTTTAATAATCACTCGTAAGTTTTCACTGTCTTTAAAAATACTGTTATGATTTAACATGGTACCAAACAGCCAACATTTCCAAAGAATAAGCCACCTCAGATAAGCCAAGAATAACTATTAAACTACTCAATAGGACTAGATATAGATCACTTCCCAAGTCCATAAGTTCAACAAATAAACAAAGCAGCAATATAATTCTCACAACATACCACATAATATATATGTGCAGAGACGGAATTTGGACATGAATATGGTTTAAAACTATTCAAGAAAAACAACACTTACTTTCTGCCGTGTCCACCCAAGTTGCGAATTCCTCGAGTGAATCCTGATTAACTGCAATGCACAAAACAACAGAGTAATGATCCTTTCAATATACAGCAAACAACACGTGCAATAAACTTCATTTCCTCAAAATGCATAACTTTGTGTCTCATTCTCAATAAAGTGTTACAATGCTTAAAACTACAAAATTCGGGAATAAAAGCATTAAACGGGTGCAAAAATTAAGATAATGATGGAAAGTTCTAGTAAATTACAGTTTTTCCATGACCAATTACAACCCAATTGCATTTAGTAATCTACATTAACCAACTCTCTCAGCTCTGGGAACAAGAAAACAAGCACATTGCTTATCCAATAAGGATTTCCTCATTAAGTCATTTTACATATAAAACTTATAAACAACCCCAATAAACACAAAATGCTCGTCTCAATTCGCACATTCATTCAAGCCCAACATGGAAAAACGAACAAATTTCATTCTCCAAAAACCTTCATTGGCCATCTTTTAGCCATAATTAAATTCTTATCCAAAACCAAACCCAGAAATTGAAAACCACAAACCTGAGCAAATGCAAGGACGGAAATAACTACATCAACAAGAGCGAGACCAACATTAACGCCCACTAGGACCCTCGGGAAGCAAAACCCATCTCGCAATTCAATCATCTTAATCTCTCTCTCTCTCTCTCTCTCTCTCTCTCTCTCTACTCTCCTTCTCTCTCTTGAAGGACTTACTCTTCAATTCTATCTCTTGTTTCTAATAATGGGAAAACGCTCGTAATTTGGGTCCGAAACAGGGAAGCGTGCGGACAGAAAAGAAGAAGAAGAGCTCGTCGAGGGAATCTTTCATGGCAGAGGAAGGAGATCCGTGATGGGCGATTTTGGTTCCATTAATCTTTCTTCGTCGGAAAATCGCAGACACACAGAGAGAAAAGGAAGAGAAAATTTTGCTGCGATTTTTTTTTTTTTTTTTTTGGCTCAAAATCAAATTGTTAAGTGGTACTTTTGGTAAATACTTTGAAATGACGAGGGCAGGGTGGTAATTTCGAGCAAGTGATTGTGGAAGAAACGTTAGGTGCTTCGTGTGATTCTCGGATGATTCCTATTATCGCTTTTTCACACCCCCCACAGATATGACTTGGGATATATGAACCTTAAAATGTTCTTTTCCAACTAAATTTAAAAAAAATTTAAATTTAAATTATAATTTTATTTAAGTTAATATTTTTTTATAAAATTTAAGTTTAAATTTGAGTTTGGGGTTAAATTCGAGTTTAAATTTTCTTTTCAACTCGAGTTCATAAACTCGAACTCAAGTTAATGAACAATATTTTTTATATTCTTAAAAATATCATAACTTTTTCGTTTTAATTCTAATTGAGATGATTTTTTTCTATACATTCACAACGAAAAGACGAATAAAAACCTATATATATACCATATTAAAATTTTTCATCACCATTGAGTTTTTATTAAAATACTATTTAAATATAAATTTAAGTTTTGACTCACCTTAACACAAACTCAAAAAGATTCTCAATTCAAATCATAACTCAAATGTACACATCCAAACACAAACTCAAGTTACAACTTCAACTCAAGTTATAACTCAAACTCAACTCAAGATCATCATTCAAGTCACTCTAACTCAAAAATGTAAAAGAACAACCCCCAAGCATTTATTTCTCACTAAATTTCTTATTTCTTTCCTGTATGATATGACATCATTTATATGGGTGGATTTTCTCCTGATTATTGATGAGTAGAGACCTTCCACGGTCATTTGTTCAATTTTGATGTCTAAAAAGAGAGTTAGTCGGTCAGAATTCTAAGACCCCTCTAGACATATCACTAGACTTTTGATCTTAAAAATTGGTAACAGAGTGTGTATCATGTGAGCTTTTCGATGATAATTGTTGTATTTGGCTAGGTGGCATAGTTGGAGCGGATTTGATTTCGTTTAAAGGATGGAATCCAAATGGCTTGGATGCGTTTTTCGGTGCTTTTCTCATATGGTTTTCCAGTGCTTTCATCATCTGGTAGTTGTACTCTTTCGGGTTTTGCTTCGAATGGTGGTTGGCTTCTTTTGGAGGTGGTGGAGTCAACTCCAGACAGTGACAGTGGTAATGCACGGGTTTCAAGTTTTGTTGTTTGAAGGCATCTCATCAGCTTCAACGCTTGTTTCTCAAAGCATTCTTCCTACCTCAAATCTTGAATGGTCCTCTTGTTAATTATATTTCATTGACGGCTTTGTGGCGGTCTTAGTTTCGGTTTTAATTGTTTATGTTTTAGTCGAGAAAATTCAAAAAATATCCTCTCAATTTTGTCTAAATACAAATTTTATCTCGGAGTTTTTAAAAATTCAAAAAGTATCTCCTTTATTTTTCCACCCATAGAAAAAGTATCCCTTCTTTTAGTTTTTAAGTTTATTTTTTAAATGGCCAAATTATTTTTAAATATCTCATATATTGTCTAAATTTATGTTGGGCTATACTAACTTCAAACACCCCTCTTAGATTTTCTTTTTCTTTTTTGTTTTTTTTTGAAGTAAATCTCTCACAAAATTTACACATACTTTTCGTCACAAGAACTTCTGACTTAAAATATAACGAAATTAAAAAAAAAAACAACAACAACAATTCCAAACTAACCGTTATCCACCCTTTTAAGTCTAATTTCTATGTTATGTATAGTTGTGCTTTAAAGGGTTCGATAAACATTACTTTCGGAGATGTTTGTGGAAACAATCTACAATAAATTAAGATAAAATAACAGAATTTAAGAAGTAGGATAATGATTAATTTTGCACAACTACTGTTGTTGTAATTGTTCAAATTTTGATGTAGCGGAAGCTATTGATTCAACAATAAAAGAAATGAGATAAATCAATTAACCTATTTATTCAAACAGAATACCAAAAAAACCGTTTAAAAATCAATTGATTCACGCAAAATGCTAGAAGTTGGCATCAAATGTTGGTGATTCACAAATAATATTGAAAATTAGAAAAATATGAAGTGTAAACACTCTAATTTCATTTACTAAAAAAAATATATTTCTTACATACAATATGACTAATATATATATAAGTTAAACTGTTCCAATGATAACATAAAACTACAAATAAAAAGAGTAAAATAAATAATTTTAAAAATTAAAAACGAAAAGAAAACTAGTTTATATTTTACCTAAGAAGTAAACCAAAATGAAACTTGACTTTATTAGATCAAATTATTACGAATTGAAACTTTCTTAATTGTAAAATGGTAATCTAATTAAGGGAAAAGTTCAAAAATGTCCTTTTATAAAAGTGATATTTCTATTATTGACATTCTCAATCATAATTGCCCCTTTATTAAGATAAACCTGAGTTAAATAACTTAAACAAAAGGGGCAATACTTAAGAAATAGGACAATATTGATTTCAAATTAAATTTTAAGTGTTAATTCTAAAAAAATTTCTTTAGTTAATTGAAAATTTCTATTTCTTCCGCAATAATTGACTTCGAGCCAAAAATATTAATTTCTTTCCTGATATGGCTGCATCAAATTTACTAAAAATATTCTCAACTATAGTTATACATTTATTCATTTTAATGATCTATGTGACAAATAAATAAATGTAAATTCTTCAAATATTTGCTTAAAAATTATCCAATAAATAATTTCAACAACTATTAGATTATTTTAAAAATATTTCGAAAAATGATTGCTTGCTTCTCTTTCAATATTTTAGATACTAAAATTAAGATTACATTTTTTTTTCGTAATTTGTGCAATATCATATGAATATTGATCCACAACAAATAATACTAAAACTATACTGAGAATTTTAATGTAAATAATTATATGTATAGATAATAACTTAGCTCTAAAGAAGAGAGGAGAGAAAACCTGAATGAAGATACACAAATGGTCTATTTATTGGATGATTGCATTAGGTATACAATTGAGATTGGAAAATTCCCAATCCCTGCAAACATAGAAAAATCGCATGCTTTCTACTTTGGAGTGGGACTGTGGTGATTCCACTTTGAGATTGTGCGACTGCCCTCGCGTTGGGTCATTTTGGCATACAGATATGTATATATATTTTATTTTAGGTGTGGTTTTAATAATTATTATAATATATATTTATTGAGGGATATCGTTATTTTAACTATAAGATATTAATCTGAAAATTATAAAATATTAAATAGTTGATAAAAAAATTATGTTAATTAATAAAATTAGATTATTATCATGCCACATAATTAAGTTTTAAAAAAATGGGGAATTTATCTTTGAGGGTGCATGAGTCTAAATCTTTACCCCTTACTCTTGATTAATTACATTTTGTTAGTGTAATTATTTGACTAAAAAGGTTATGAATCAAGAGTACATGGTAAAAATTATGACTCATGTATTTTTATGAGGTATTTGTCAAGATTACCTTTAGGGGGCATTTGGTATGCAGGAATCAATAGAAATCATATTCCCAGAAAAGTGATGGAGGGTAATACGATTCCTAGGAATAATATATTACTATGTTTGGTTCTATACGAGAATCTTTTTCAAATTCCTAGGAATATTACATTACTGTGTTTGGTTGTTCGCTTAGAAAAAGATCCATAACAATAATAATAATAATAATAATAAAAATAATAATAACAATAATATTACTATTATTATTAATAAAAATAAAAATAAAAATAAAAATAACAATAATAATAATTTTAATTTTAATTTTAATTTTAATTTTAA